AATTGAACGATATTCAAAATAGGATATATGACAAAGAATTATGGTAAAGTTTGACGTCATAATATATAATATTATTACCTATTCAAAAATATAATTTCGAAAGCTTTCTTTTACAATGTAATTGCTAGGAAAATAAAATGAGGCTGATTACCCGTGTAAAATATTATACAATAATATTAATAAGAATAAATTCAGTTCAGAAATCATGTTTCAAATTCATTAGAAACATACAATACATAATCAGGGTTTTAATAATTAATTCGAGAAAATTTGTTTAACCTAATTTGACCAAATGAATAGTACAAGTAACTGAAAATTAAGATATTTCGATATAATAAAAAAAGTAAACGTCGATTATCCAAACAAGAAATTTCATTATCAAAATGTAATTATATGTATAACGATGCCTATGTATATACAACGTTTAAACAAATCCTGACTTATCCAAAGTACTATTTCTCTTATATTTCTAAAAAGATAACACCTTTTAGTTGTTACAAAGTTAGTACTGCGCATTAAAAAAATGGATTACAACGGAAGCGAAAATGAATAAGTACAAAAGAAAAGAATCTTTGTTACAATACAGTGAGTATTTTTTAATATAAAAACGTGATAAAAATGTAAATATTGACATGTAATCGAAATTAAGCACAATACAATAATCGCATTGTTTTCGAATAAAAAGAAAGAAAAAATAATACATACATCCCATTCAAAAAATGTACAAAAATATGCAAAAATATATTAACTACTAAAAATATCTAAATTTTGTTTTATTCACTACATCAAATTTATTTTTTCATATAAATACTTATGTTATTCGTATGCAGATATCTGTGTAATAAAAGTGCATTAACAGACTAAGTCTTTTTATCTATGTTTTGGTATATAAAATAATTACTACGCATATTAATTAAAAATATAGGCAATATTCATACTGAAACATTACAAAACGGTTTGTTTTTAACCCGAAAAATTGTTGTATTCCAAACACATCATACCTCATAAAAGTCTATTTATTATTTTATATTGAATACTTAAAATATTAATAATCGAAAACAATTTCTAAAATTAGTTCGGATAATCGTCGTTTTGGTCTCACATCCCTGATTCCCTTTACACCAATATTTTACGTCATTAAAATTATGTTCAATGAATTTTTTACATCTTACAAATATCATACACAATACAGTATCTATCAGTTAATTAAATCTTATATTTACTTGTATCCATTATCCATTGATTTTTACCACCAATTAATTCTTTATTATTTCTTTGTCGTATCAATTTTTTTCTTCGAATGTACACAATGTCTTTAAAAATATAGTAATTACGAAACGTAAGTTGTAAACATAAAATTCGTTATTTTTCAATTACAAACAATTATGGTTTTTTGAAATTTCTAAAATTTCATCTCGCTTGGAAAGAAGAAAATCAGGGATGTTCATTAAGATAGCAATTGAAATAATAGATAGTCCCTCTAAAAAGTGATTTTTATGAATAAATGAAAAATTATACAGCCGAAAATAAAAAGATAATTCATGCAAAGATTATAATATATCAAAATTGATGTAACAATATTGAGTGTGTTTTGTCTAGATAATATTGTACGAAGTGAATTTTTAGGGTAAAATGTTGAATCCTTTTTCATATTAAAATGTTTTCTATTCACTCATTTATATTTATAAGTAATGTCAAATATAAAAACTCATTCCTATCTCAAACTGACAACTTTATTTCGTTCATTTGCTGTATGATTGCGTGACACGAGTACGTCGATTGATTTGAAAAAAATTCTTACACCCAGTTGTTCTATACCTCCGTCTAATTGTGGCTCATTCGTCTCGGACACAGGTGTCCTTTGTGCGACCATATGCCAATTCGAAGTAGAATTAATACGTCATGTTAACGCTTCCTTTCATTAACATTGAATATTTCACTTCAGGACAGTGGTTGGTAAATATGACAGAATACGTCGTAGATAAGCATACCTTGTCGTTTTCTAGGAGGAATCAAATAATTGCTTACCTTGCTAAACTTTAAATATTCGGTAGAAAAATAGGAATCTTACTCTAAGAGATTTTCAATATCGTAATAATTTTAATGGAAAGATCGTTCCTTAATTCGAAACTGTTTTATCCAAGACCTAATAAACAGGTTTTATTTAAAAACATGTTCCTTGGATAGTCTTGAGTAATTAAATCATATATAATAGTTATCTATTTTGAGCGATGTAATTATTTGATTTTTCCTAGACTCCAGAGGAAACGCTGATCACACCTTTTAATAGAACCTTTATTTGCACCGAAATCTAAAATCGATCGCAATGTGTTCTTCGTTGGCACATCGCGGGAGATATAACACAGTTGTGATTACTCCTGATTCTAACTTCACCTTTGGCGCGTAACAGTAATGTAAAAAGGTGTCGTTAGAATTAAAAGTACGTATCGAAATTACGCATCAAAAACGCTGGCGATATACTTTCTCTTCACGAAAGTGGAAAGTTTATGATGTAAAATCTGGAAGAATGGGAACGAGGTGGCTTTCGTGAGTTGATTTTCATTTTGAGTGTGACAAATTTTAATTCTTATTTGAGTAAGATGTTGAATAAATTATATTGCAAATATTTGCACATTTCTATAAAGACAAATAAATACTGATTGAAATGTATTTTTTTTCTACACTCATCAAGTGATTGCATTACACCGGGTTTACTCGATCATGTGTTGATATACTTACACATATACTTAGTATAACAAAATGCGTTTTATTATACCATGCAACATCACTAACTTGTAGTACCACACATTTAAAATAGTTAAAAGAAAAAGACGTATTAAAGCATACTTTCTACACTTTATCAACGCATAAAACTTAACGCATTAAACGTAATATGAATATCATTGTCATAAAATAAAAATATCTAAAAGTCGTAAATAAACCTAACGAAAAATGATAATTTCATAAAAGTATTTTATAATTTTAAGGAGCACAAATGTGTGATGTTACATTCTATAAATGACAAAATTATAAAAAAACTGTTGTAAAAGGTATTAATTATGTTTAAACATTTTATACACTTTCATACACCTTATTACGTTTTGCGATATGTTTTCAATTGACACTCAAAGTAAAATAATTACCGAGAATATATAAAATTATATTAACTTTTTCACATTTCTAGAATATTAAGGAAATTGAAATGTAATTGTAAATTATGTAAATTGTAAATTATACTTTATAAGTGTATTACAACAAAAAGGTACAATTTTATACAAATGTATCTTTTCTTAAGAAAAACTGAATGCTGTGTACCTGAATACACTGCAATATTGTCACTCTCAAAAATACCTAAAACACCTCGTTCCGGAAGCAATGCTATAAAATAAATTTTCGTGACCAAAAAAAAGAAACAAACGGAAAGAACACCTGTCCACTATCTCGTTATTTCTTATAATTTATTTTCTTCTTAATGTAATTGTAACACGATGAAGCTGAGCAGGTGTTCTTCATCATATACGTACTATGTAGAGAATGACTAGGCCATATGAATATAACTAAGGAATTCGTACTGTGTGCCGGCACTGTTTTAGAACAAAGTACAGTGAAAAACCTATCTAATTTATTTCAGACCATCGTTTCTTTAATTTCGGCACGACCAAACAAATATTGTACTTTTATACACACAATTACCTTCTGTGCCGAAAAAGATTAGGTCTACTAAATTCTATTTCCTACTTTATTTTCCAAAATTGTCCTGAGGTTTATTCATATGGCTCAATATTTTCAGTCCTGCAAACTTCATCTATTCTCAATCAATCTGATGTGTATTTTCAATGATTCTTTCTCATTGTCTATGACTGTAACCAATGTTGTGAAAAATCAACTTTTAAATTCTATTCTGGTTCTTCCCCCTCGCCATCTGTAATACAGAAATTAGTATATAAATACACTAAATATTAAAGAATAATAAATGATAGATCTAATACAATATAATAAAAATATCACAACGGAGTTCATAAAAATCAGTTGTACCTTCACGATCCACTTCATCATCTACTAATAAATCATCATCTTCGTTTACCCCATCATCTTCATCATTCACAGCCTCTTCTTCCTCTTCATCTTCATCTACATCATCTTCGACAACAACTATACTATCATCACCCTCCTCACCATCACCTGCTTCATCACCATCATCTGCTCCACCATCTTCTTCTTCTTCCTCCTCCTCTGTATCGCAATCTTCACCATCTCCTTCAATACCATTTTCAACATCCATATCTGGTGCTAAATAATACTGAAAACAAAATAATTATGATATAAAAATAACATATCATACGTTTTGTATAACAAAATCAATTACAATGTTACATTTCATAACAAGTTGTATAAGAAAATTTCATAATTTCACTGAAATTAAATACTGTCTGCATATTGTACATATAACCTATGAGTGATGATACTGCTAATTAATTTTATGAATAACATAGAATTATTAATATTTAATAACTTTTTTAATTATATTATGAACAATACCCTTACCTGCAATGGATTAGGCCACATATCATCTTTAATTAACTCTGCTATTTCATCTGAACTTGGATCTCCATGATCCGTAAACCAGTCAAAAAATGACCTGTGTTTTAGTGGCCTTTTACGACCTTTTAATGGGGCTTTGGTTTTTGCTCTTTTTGTTAAATCTGCACCTTCTTTCCAACGTATAGGTGTACTTTGAGATGCTGGATCTCCTGCAAAAAAGCAGGAGATACATCAAAACTATGATTATTTACCAATGAGTTTAGTTTTCACTTGCAAATTCTTTAAAAATCATTAGTCAAAATCATAAATAAAATGACATATTGAAATTATTTTGCAATTATTTCTATTATATCTATATGTAAATCTCATAAAAAAGCATGTATATAACTGAACCTGCACATCTACTCCAACTGTAAAAAATCATTATTGTGATGTATGAATACAATATTATTTGTTTAAGAAGAAATCTGTATTCATAATAGATATTTTAATATTACTAATTCTCAATTTTAACTTTAAGTTAAAGTTTTTCTAAATAGTGTGATATTCTTCCTAAACAAAAGTTATTATAAAAACAAACAGTTTTAAGAAACAATTTATAAATCAGAATTAGAATTAGAAATGTGCTCACCAGAAGAACCTAGATGAAATTCTTTTGTAAGAACATCATTTTCAAAATATGGATTTTCATCAAAATGAAAATTAATTCTATAACCAGATTTAATATCTTCAAATTCTTCAACTTCCAATTTGTTTAAAAATCGAAGTGCATCCTCCTCATCTTCATAAAAATTAATTATGTATGAATAATAACATGCAAATTTGCACATAAACTCAACTTATGTACAAGTAACATAAATTTATACCAAAGTAAAAGTATCTTTCCATTTTTAAGCTCTTTAATATTGAAATTTGTCATTTAATATTTAGACTATATATTATAAGGGTGCAATATTAACCAATTATATCTCTCACTGATATAAGTACTATATTTCATATTTCAATGTATGAAAATGATTTTGTATAGAAATTAAATGTAATTTTATATGAAGTACAAAGAATGAAAATGCTTAAAAGAGAAATTTTAAAAAGCAATAGGTTAACAGATTAAAATTGTAAACAAAGAGGAGAATTTTGTAGAAAAAAACATTCATATTATTAGAACAATCTATAGTGCAAATTGCAATACATAACCAAAGTGTACTGCAAATAAATAATAAAGCGTATGTATATATAAGATAATAAATACATTTCTAAAAGAATGACCATATCAAGTAATTTTTATCAAAATAAATTTATATTATATTCCGCGTGACCGCATGTAGTTATACATACTTATATACGTATACAAGTAGGCAAGATGGCGACTAGCACCGGTGGACGCCGGCATTGCCGAGAAACGTCAAAGATATATTAGTAATTATTATTAGCGAGAACGTAATGTCATCGTATGAAAGGATACAGCAGTGACCCAAAAATTGGGTATCCTTTTAATAATGTCATTTCTCTTCTGGAAATAGGGCTTACGCAACTTATTATACTTCTTTTCAACTTCAAGAATTTCGTCGCTGGCCTTCTCATTGAGGCCATCGATTTGATTCTGACACCCGTCAATCTCTTCAAGTGTCTTCTGTATTTCAATGTCGTAATCTCGTGTCTCAACACCCTCACCCGAACCTGGATCCTCTAATTCCTTGGCTTTTTTGTTCGGCGAAGCCATCGTTCGACCCGCGCTCTTGTCACCACACCACTACTCTCTGTTTATTTTCAGTACGCACTCACTCCGCGTTCGTCACGCTCGTGTCACAAATTCGCGGCGCGTAAGCAAGCTAAACTACAACCACAAATTCAATAGTTCATCGAGACAAGAAACTCCACTGTTAAAAAATTCTGCTACGATCTATTATCTCGTTTGGAGTGAAAAAAGTGAAACATTCAGCTTTAATTAAGTAGTTTTACATTTTATCGTGCAACTTTTGAACTTGTATTTTTTACACGTTCAATTTAAAATATAAATTATACTTTTACTTAAAACAACTATCCCACTGAAAGAATATATAGAAATTATTTTGCTTTTTATAATAGATAACCGATGTAAAAAGCAATCTTTTGATGTACAACTATTTATGCTTTTAATTTACAATTAAATATTACAATTATTACAATACAATAATAAA